GATAGCAGAAATGAGTCGGATACCATATGCTTCTGCAGTTGGCTCGATCATGTATGCTATGATTTGTACTCGCCCTGGTAAAGCTCATTGGACTGCAGTTAAGAACACTCTTAAGTACCTACGGAGGACTAAGGACTCGATCCTTACCCTCGGTGGGAGTGATGACTTGAGAGTGACAGGGTATAGCGGATCATAGGACTAAGGACTGCTGATAATTTCCGCTCTCAGTCGGGCTGGGTGTTTTACCCTGAATGGGGGAGCAGTGACACGGAAAAGTTCCAAGCAGGAGACTGTAGCTGATTCAACGTGCGAATCAGAGTACATAGCAGCAAGCGAAGCATCGAAGGAGGCGATATGGTTGAAAAACTTCATCGGAGACCTTGGAGTTATTCCATCCATAAAGGATCCTATGGAGATTTTCTACGATAATGAAGGGGCGGTTGCCTTAACCAAGGAACCGAGAGATCATGGTAGATCTAGACATATCGACATGAAATACCACTTCATAAGACATCAAGTAGAAGAAGAGCACCTCGTGGTAAAGGGGATATCGTCAGAAGACAACCCAGCAGATCCCCTTACAAAGGGACTGACTAGGGTTAAGCACTTGCAGCATGTGAGGGGCATTGGGCTAACGGACGATATTAGTTTTACTAATTAGATAAATCGAAACTTGTAATAGCTAAATTGTAATTGACATTTGATGATTAAATAAAAAGAGTTTTATTTATAAGTAAAGTTACTGTCTTGTGTCAATTATTTACTATTGTTTCACTTTGCATGTTTTGACTTCCACAATAATAAAATTATTCAAACCATCCACAGTCGATCATACGTCGGAAGTAAGTATGAAAGAAAATTGTCATGAGTTGGCTTGTAGATTGTCTAAGGAGTTAGACATAGCAAAAGTTTGCTACACCATTCATGAGTGCTCCTGAAATAAGATTTGAGTATTGGATTCAACCCGCGCTCACCTGAATCACTTCATGGAATTTATCACGAGTGATTGTGAGACGATAATATCATATAATCTTCAAACCAAGATATATGAGTTGTTGACTACGAGTTGGTTGTGCACTGATGGCATGAAAACGCATCAGTAACTTGATGTTATAAAACGTGTTGTTGTGCATGATTTGATGAGTAGTTAGTACAAGCATATAATGTCGAAGTTTATCTGTTCCTTTTATCCTAAGAGGATTAAAAGCGATATCTTGGGCCCCTCGATTATTTTGTTTTGACTTATGTGTCGGGCCCGGTCAGAACTAAATTGATGTGTTCAGTTATGTTCTATGTCAGCCGAATCGGAAATTGGGGAACAAATTGCACGACAATAAGTATGACTAAGTTCCATGTATTTTTCCTCATAGATATCTTGAGAATAGAGGAGTATATGATCCCTTATCTAAAGGACGCGTCACTGACTAGGTCAGAGTTTGAAAACGTCTTTTGAAAGCTTACGATTGCTAAGTCGGATCCGGAAGTCACATTGGCAGCTATAGTTATTAGACTTATCCAAGTGGGAGACTGTTGGATTTGGTGTCTAAGCCCATAACTATAACTGGGATGTACTTGACCCGATTGTAGCATGGTCCTTTTGGGTTGCCTTCACCAGTGCAATTTGATAGGATGGACTTTTGAGAATAAGGTTATTTATGATTATTAATATATTACAAGTATAATATATTAATATGAAATTATTTAATTAGTATTGATCAAGAATTATTTTGGAATTAATTTTGTGGTCAAAAGAAACTAATTAAATATATGGGGATTGATTTTGTAAATAAATGATTCTTGTAGTGTGGGCCAATGATCCATGATTATTTAGATGGGCTAATCCAATGAGATAGTCCATGAAGGTTAAATCCATGGAGCATGAGAATGTGGAAAGTCATGGGTCATTAGGGTTTACAAAGTGTAACCCTAGCATGTGAAACACTATAAATAGAACCCTCATGAACCAAAATCGGTGACACCTTCTTTTTGAGCTAAGTAACTTATTCTCTTAAGCCTCCTTTTGCATATTGGTGTTTATGAACCATTAGAGGCATCACACTTGGGGTGCTCAAGCTTTCAAGGGTCAAGAACTATTAGTCCTTCTAAAAGGTATGTCATCTAACTAGATGTGTTATTCAATTGTTCAAATGTATGCTAGTTAGGACAATGCTTTGGAAAATTGAAAATATGCATGTATAGTTAGAGAAAACATAGATCCAAAGCATTTAGGGTTGCATGTGCACCATATGAGTGTTATAGTGCTCAAAACCCAACACCTGCTTCCACTCTCGTATACTCTTCAAACTCCTAGTCGGTCCTCCTAACCCGACTCCTTTAATGTGGGCCGAGACCACTTGAATACCAGCATCTACAACCCTCAACATCAAGGGTTCCAAGATTAGACTCATACACCAATGCAAGAAGAGACTCCAAGGTCTGAATAACATCTATTACAACACCTCTTGAACAGTCGACCATCACCCGACACTTATGCCAACACTATTTAGTGAGAACTACGAAAACTGATGGACCATCTTCACACGACATTCTTACGCCGTGCCGATTAGAACATACTCCTTTATCTGTAACCTGCAGATCCCGAAGTCTTACACAACCTTCAGGTAGATAGAGCCTGAAGGTTTGTATCGATCGAATACACTTCAGTATAATAAATAAGAACAAACTAAACTAAGAAAATGAAGGACAGAAAACTTAAAGAACACGAAGAATTCACCAAATTGTCTTTCACCAAGAAAGGGGTTGTTTTCACGAAGAAAACAGGTTGTCACAAAGACGATCTTACGCCATGACGACATAAAGCCATACATTAGGGTTTCACCCTAATGTTGTATATATACTAATCTAATCTAGTGAACCCCTTCAATCAAGGGATTGTATCAAATCTACATATAAACAAATCATTATCACCAAGATATATATCGAATATGTTATCTATTCTATATTACACAATATATCTACCTAATATTCAAATATATCTTCCTAATAATGATCACCAAGATCATGGACTTCACACTGACGTTGATCATTCTGGAGCTGACGCTGACGCTGACATTGGTGTTGATGCCGACGCTAGAGGTCAGCGTGTAATTGTGTTTGACTCATCAGATCATAAGGTGTGACCTTACAATCTACCCTATCTGATGATGTCAAAACTAATCTTCAATAAATTCTCTAGCTTGTGCTCCCCTTGAGAGTAAGAACTTTTCTTCCCTTCCCCATTTTGGTTATCAGCAGTAGAGGCAATAAGAGCAGCGGAAACAATCAATGAATCCTGAGTTGCAACAGAATGATAGATGATAAGGAGATGATAGAATGTTGATATCAGCCCCCCCTAGATTTAGCTCCCCCCTCAGACAAACAACATTTGAGGTCTGCTCCCCTTTAGATAAATAATCTTCTTCTTTTAGAAGTGTCTGCTATTCAATGAATGATCAAGTGACAACATAGCAGAAATCCCACTGAGAGAGTAGCTTCATCAGTTACACTTCCAAATCCCATCGAAGCTCCATGAGGTGTATTCCATTCCTCTAAATCCACAACCAGAATAATACACCAACATATAGTTATGCACATATTATAGTCAATTGTTGCTTCCGGTATGTCCAGAGGTTGAAGACAACATTGTTAGGGTATTTGAAGCTGGATGTTGTGGATGCTTTTCGGGTGAAGCATAAAGGGGAACAAAGTTTTTTTAGATATCTAAGTTAGAGTTTCAATTAATAATCTAGAGACAACATGGAAGTGACGTGGATTATGTCACCGATGCCAAACATAGTTAAGAACTTGAAAACTAGATAATAATTTGGTTGCTCTCTATTTTAATAGGTAAAAAGGATTCATTTCTCGGGCTATAAAAAAAATAACATCAATAGACCTTTTAAAACAAAAACGAATACTTTTTGAGGCAAAAGCAAGATTATCTCTCAGGCTGCACGGACTAGGGATTGGGGGACGCCAAGGAGGTTAAGCCTCGCTAGACTCGCCACACATTGCCCCAGGCTTGCCCAAAGGGGCTCGTCACCGGTGCCTCGCCATGGCTGTAGCGAGAAGAGAGAGGATAGAGAAAGTTGGTATTTGAGCTGTGATTGGTTGTTTATTTTGTGGTTTCTTCTTTTAATTTTTTTTTTCAAAATAAACCCTATTAAAATAACACTATCACTTTCCAAATTTTACAATACACACATGTTAAACCTACATGTCAATAAAAAACCTAATATATATATATATATATATATATATATATATATATATATAATATATATATATATAACGTGCTAAAAATGCTATGATTCTCTCTGACCTTAAATAAAATTCATAACCTTATATGAAATTCATAATAGTTTTGTTACTTTTATTACATAATTTATGGCCAAAGGGTATCAAATCAATAGTTTAATTAAACACTGTCAGATTTACTTTTAATAATCGTGTATATTTAGTGTTTTTTACGACTGAAATTGTTCCAAGTCACTTACTGGAAACTGGACTATGCCTTATGAAGACGTTATCCACTGTCTATGACTCAATATTAATGTTCAAAGAAAACAAAAAAATTAACAAACTAAATTTGATTAGGACTCTTGAGTTCTTTTTTTTTTTTTTGTGTGTGTGTGTGATATTTAATAGTTTTCTTGCCTAGTGGCAAAATTTGATATAGGTAGATGATGCTGTTTTCACCAGGAGACATAAATGATCATTTCCTGTTCACGGGATGATCACCATTCACCCATATATGTTTTTGAAGTATAAAATCATGCTAAGGTTGAATATCTTGTTTACACATAATTATTATAGTTGAGAATGAAATTATTTTCCATTAAAGACATCAAACGAACATTGTTAATGGACAGTAACAATATATAAAATGGACGCTTACAACCAGATTACAAATCATAAACAACAGTCATGGAAGCCTTGTTCCTACAAATCTGATCAAGAAAGTTGCAGAGATGTGATTTTATCTCTTTAATTCATCAATATTAACTCCAGGTCGGCAGGTCATCATCATCATCATCATCAAGATCATCAAACTGCTTATATTGATTGTATGCATTCCTTAAATTGATTCCGGTCAAACTGTTCATTGCATTCGCTAGTGGATCGAACGGTGTATTATCAATGGATGATCCGATGATCGAATGAGGTCGTTGGTTAAGCTGTGAGATTCTCGGCCCTTCCCCGTTACTGAAATGATTAGCAAGGTCATATCCAGAATTTCTCTGGTGCAGAAGATCAGAAAAACTAGCACCGCTGGCATAGTTTTCATCCAGCACACGGTTGTTATTTCCGGTAAGGCTATTAACAATCGAGTGCCCAAAGGCACGTAGATCTGTTTCTTCTGGAGGTGAGAGATCAACTACATCAGCCGACACCGTCACCGCGCGTTGATCACCTATCTGGAGCTGCAGCTGCTGGGAACTGTTAAGTAATCCGGTTGAAAAGGTCGGAGCATGTGCTTCGGATGGATAATCACCGACCACCGTGGTTTGACCTTCCGGGAAGTCAGGTTTCAAGATCCTAAGCGCCCCCGATGCGGTTGGAGGTGGCGCGTAGGCCGAGAAACTCATTTTGAGATGGGAGAGAGAAGGTTTTCAGATGGGGTATTGGATAAAGAAATTTGATGGAGTAGATATAGACCGGAAATTATAGAAGTCAACGTTATACTAGAAGTTCACTTTTTTATACTATTAGTCACCGTAAACATCTTTATGGCATTATAGGTTTTTCATATATTATATACTAGTATTAGTACACTACCCAAAAAAATATAGTAAATTTTTTTTTCTTTGAAACGGCAGCATAATATTAAAAACTAACAACTAGAGAGTAACAAAGAGGATATTGGTAATTTATGATTTTGTAGAAAACCTATCCCATAAGACCACCTTCAAAGGATTCTTATAACAAAAGAGTTAACCCACATAAAAGTAGCTTCCAATGCATCCTAACACAATCTAATAGGCTTCTTTGAACGATAAGCAGCCAACCAACACGTCCAATCCTCAAAATTACAAAAGAATGGAGGATCCAACTCCCACCAAGTAGCCAATCAAATCCATAAATCAATCGACATCTCGCACGTGTAGAAAGATGATTAATAGTCTACATATCATTACTACGAAACGGACAAAGCAAAGACCCAATATCAATATTTCTTCTATCCAAATTGACTTGGGTAGGGAGCTTATTCAACCCAAGTTTCCACAAATATATATATATATATATATATATATATATATATATATATATATGATATATATATATATAATTATATATATATATATAATTATATTAACTTTAATGAGAACCACACCATTCCATCTAGTTGAATTAACATCCACAACCAAAGTATTAGCATCAATGAAAGACCGCATAGAAGCAACCGTGAATCCATGATTACCATTCAAAGATCACAACCAACCATCCTTATCACCAGTCAAAGTCACCATACTAATGCATCTACGCAAAGTCGAATACTACACAATCTCCTCCCCACCCATCGGTCTTCTTCCCAAAACCGAAAACCAATCAAGAATATGAATACAATCAACAACATTACAATTTTTTTCATCCAATGCATATAGTCACGGGAATTGTTCTTTGAGTGAGTTTTCTCCATACCAAATATCATCCCAAAAGGAAGTGTGCATCCCATTCCCCAACTTACGAGTACAAGCTAACAACATACACACACCTTTCTGCTTTATATCCGTTTTCTGAATCTTCTTTCTTTATTTAACACCATTCAACCATAGAAACTTGATGACAATTCTTCACTAACCTACCATCAAAATGTTTTTCTTGAAAAAGAAGAATGAGAAAGATATTCCAAGCAAAACATTGATGTTTGGAGAGTCACATTCAAGATTGAGTAATACATACAAATCACATATAAAGATCAAATGAGAAATTTAATATAAAGAAAGAATAGAAAAACTTCATTTGTTTTGGTTGAAAGAAATATTCATATTACAATTACCATCGATGCGACATAACCCATTTCTTCTAATCATCATATTTGGATCGTAAATATTTCAACTATATGAAAACTTTTGAATCATAATATCTTCAACCAAATGACGACTTTTTGTAAGAAAAATGTACTAATATAACTACATATATAATGAAGGTGAAAGGGTGTGGGGGTTTCAAATGCATGTGGTGTTGCACTTATAGAGTGTGTGATTTCTTGGAATGGGATTATGTGTGATTAATTACTTTGAATGTGAAAGGGTGTGGGGGTTTCAAATGCATGAGGTGTTGGCAAATTTTTATGGGGGTTTCAAATGCATGAGATTCAAGAAAAAATGTTAGCTTTATAAGTATGTATGATGTGACAAATACTAGCCAATAGTCACGTTAGATTATTATGACTGTAAGTATTTTATTATGAGATTTAAAAAAACATGTGATTATAAGTGTTTTATGACAAAAGTTTAATTTCATATGTATGTCTAAAATTAATGATTTTGAATATATAAAAGAATAGCACGTGACTATAAGTACTTTATAATGACATTAAAGAAATATGTAACTAAAAGTATTTTATACTTACGTGTTAATTTTTATGTGTGTCCAAAAGTAAAAAATAGTAACAATAAAAGAAAAAAAAAACATGTCATTGTAAGTATTTAATGGTCACAGTTTAATTTCTTATACATGTCTAAAATTGTTATGGTTTTACATAAAAAGTGTGAAAAACGCTAACTAACAATGACAATGGATCATTATGACAGTCCCCCAAAATTATGCCCCTCCCTTTTTTGGGTTCCTCTCAAAAAATTTTCGTGTGAATTTTTTTTAACTCCCTCTGTTTTTTTGGCTTTCCCTCTAAATCGACAAGAGAAAAATTTTGAACTCGCATCCTCGATTTTTTTTCTAAAGCCTAAATGGCACCACCTAAACACTACCCTCCATTTCTCTCCCTCTTTACGACGACTACCACATAGAAAATAAAAAAACCTTGTTTCTTTTTTTGTTCTCCCTAAATCTATTGATTCCACACACCATCACCGGTACATCCCCACATGACCACCGGCGCCGCCCCCACCACTACAACAACCTCTTGACGTCATTCAAGTACTTATTCTGATTTCAGTGTCGATTTAGAACCCTAGATTAACCCTAAACCATTAATCTCGATTTCCAAACTCGAGATTCTGCTCCCTCACTAACGCTTCTCCCATCACCACAGCCTCTTCACGTCAGTTTTAGGTATGATTCTCAATTACCTCCACCCTAACACCACAGTCTGCGACATCCTTAGCTCCTCCAAAATCCCTCTGAAGGTTAGTCCCACAGTGATATGAATATTTCAGCATGTCAGCACTAGGGATCTTGTTGTTATTCTGTTTCAAGGTTTTTTTTTGTCTATGTTCTTTGTTTTCTTATAATAAACCATTCAAATGTCAAGTCTATAGCTAATTTTTCTTTTTATACCATGTATATTAATCTTCTTTTCCTTGTGAAGGTTAGTTCTTCTCCATTCGTAGGTTAAAACAGTTGAGATAGTTTATATGTCTCGAATACTGGAGAATGGTAGATTTCATTACAGAGTGTTGGTGTCTAATGTTGAAAATGATATGTTTGTTAGAAAACCTGCTTTCTTGATTATGTTGTTGGTTTTATGTCAACATGGGATGCACCTTCAGCTGGTCAATTCATGGAGCTTCCTATAGGAATTGCTACACTTAGGTAGTTAGGTGTTATTGTAGTTCCCTCGTGTTTCAAATATATTACTTTGCTATTCAAAAAGCACTTAAGTTGCTAGCATTTAAAATTTGTTAAGCACTTAAGCTTATTACATGTTAACATCTGAAATATGTTAAGCACTTAAGTTGTTAGCATCTATTAAGACTTAAGCTGAAATCTATTAGCATTTGTTAAGGACTTAACTTGTTAAGCATTTGTTAGCATCTGTTAAGCATTTCTAAATTGGTTTTCAGCATCTTTTGAACATTTCTATATGCTGCAGGTTGCTTCACCTGATACTATTGGGCTCTTCAATTCGTTGCCTATGTGATGTATTTGGTGGTACCAAAGTAGACCAACCAAAACAAACAACCAGAAACCGATAAGCAGCCAACACACTTGAAAGAGGACAGTGGAAAAAATTTCAAACGCCTAAAAAATCCAATAAAGATCAAGTTCCTGATTGGAGATATAGCCAATAAAGCCCTTTGGAATGGTCTATTCCTACTCAAACCATGCACGTAATTATGCTTAATATCTAGTTATAAATTTCACTTCTTTTTTAACAAGTTTGATTAGGAGAGAATCTCCTTGGAAGGTTGATGGTGAAGGTTAGTCAACTTTGTGATTGACAAGCGATCTTTATTTATATGGCTAGTTATATACTTGTATTATTTGTAGCATTGGCCTCTGGTTCAACTTGTATCACTTTAGTAATTCAAACTAGTAGATATCAATTTCTATGGGTAGAGAAATGTTAGTACATTGTTATTATATTGGTAAAATAAAGTAAATGTACTAATTATATATGTTGGTCTTGCTATTTTTTAGGTGTGGGGATTACATGAACAAGTTCAAAGGCATGGATAGATGCAAATAGAAATACAACGAAGACTAACACAACTTAAATAACAGTTGGCGGTTTTTATGAGATAATTTAACAACGGCTCAGTAATCCAACAAATGGTTCTTAGTTTTTTTGTTTTAAACCAAGTTGTTAAACATTTATTACATTGTGTATGTAATTGCATTAGACATTTTAATGTATCATACAACTTGTATAGTATGTTTATTAACTTAATTTGTTTATCAAAATAACGTACATGATATTAATTGATCAATATTTGGCACAAAAATGATTTTAGGTTGCTCAACAATAGTCATGACAAACAAAAAAGTGTGATTAAATGTCAAATAATAGTCACCGTTTAATATATTGTGTGCAATATCCCGATTTTCAAATATTACATTTTTGAACCTGGAATGAATTTTGTTTGCAAAATGGCTCATAGTGGCATTCTTCTAATTTTGGGAAAATCAGAGTACGCTGGGCGTACCAGCATGGTACGCGGGGCGTAAGGCTTTTAATGGAGCGATGTCATTTTGATTACGATGAGCGTACTCTGTCTGGACCAAAAACCCTAATCTTGAGGGTTTGGACCCTATTTATTGTTCCTTAAGTTTCATTTCTTCACCACATTCCCAGCCTCCATCCTTAGAAACGTTTTCTCTTGCAAACCCTAGCCCCATTGTTGCACTTTTAAGCTTGAGTGTGTGTTTTGTGCGTTCCAAAGGAAGAAGAAGGTGGTGGTGAAGCTTGGAAGCTAGAAGCAAGCTTGGATATGGAAGTTTTACATCATTCTCCATCTCCAGAAGGTAAAAAGTTCCCAGCATGATGAATAAGTTGCTAGATCTAGCTAGGATGTTGAAAATATGAGCTTTTGCCCCCAAATATGTCCTTCTTGTGCATGACATGTTATAGAGCATTCGAGTTGTCCTTTTGTATGTATTTCCATGTCTTGAGCCATAAAAATATGATATTGGCCCCTGAGATTCCTTCATGCAAGCCATTAAGAACTTTAGCGGTTAAGACAAG